CCCCCCCCCACCGTTCACGGCTCCCCCCGATGCATGCGGACCCCCCTGGCCCCATAGGGGCCGCGCTGGGGGGGGGGCGGCCTCATCATCTCCCCCCTGGTTTCGGTCCAGCGCCGTCGCTGCGCCCCGCGCTCGCGTTCGATCAGCGCCTCCGACACCGGCAGGGACGTCACCTGGGGGGGGGGGGGCAACAGGGACCCATAGCGGGACCCAGAGGGACCCATAGGGAGCCATAGGGAGCCATAGGGACCCAAAGAGAGCCATAGGGACCCATAGAGAGACATAGGGACCCATAGAGAGACATAGGGACCCAAAGAGAGCCATAGGGACCCATAGAAATCCACTGGGACCCACAGAGAGCCATAGAAATCCATCGGGACCCATAGAGAGCCATAGGGACCCATAGCGACCCATAGGGACCCATAGAGAGCCATAGGGACCCACAGAGAGACATAGAAATCCACTGGGACCCATAGGGACCCATAGGAATCCATAGGGACCCATAGAGAGCCATAGAGAGCCATAGAGAGCCATAGAAATCCACTGGGACCCATAGGGACCCATAGGAATCCACTGGGACCCATAGAAATCCATTGGGACTCATAGGGACCCATAGAAATCCATTGGGACCCATAGAGAGCCATAGAGAGCCATAGAAATCCACTGGGACCCATAGAGAGCCATAGGAACCCATTGGGACCCATAGAGAGCCATAGAAATCCATTGGGACCCATAGAAATCCATTGGGACCCATAGAAATCCATTGGGACCCATAGAGAGCCATAGAAATCCATCAGGACCCATAGGGACCCATCGGGACCCATAGAAATCCACTGGGACCCATAGGGACCCATAGAGAGCCATCGGGACCCATAGAGAGCCATCGGGACCCATAGAAATCCACTGGGACCCATAGGGACCCATAGAAATCCATAGGGACCCATAGAGAGCCATAGCGGGACCCATAGAAATCCATTGGGACTCATAGGGACCCATAGGGACCCATAGAAATCCACTGGGACCCATAGAGAGCCATAGAAATCCATCGGGACCCATAGAGAGCCATAGCGACCCATAGGAATCCACTGGGACCCATAGAAATCCATTGGGACCCATAGGAATCCACTGGGACCCATAGGAATCCATTGGGCCCCATAGGGACCCATAGGGACCCATAGAAATCCATTGGGACCCATTGGGACCCATAGAAATCCATCGGGACCCATAGAAATCCACTGGGACCCATAGAGAGCCATAGGGACCCATAGAAATCCACTGGGACCCATAGGGACCCATTGGGACCCATAGGGACCCATTGGGACCCATAGCGAGCCATAGGGACCCATAGAGAGCCATAGAAATCCATTGGAACCCATCGGGACCCATAGAAATCCATTGTGACTCATAGGAACCCATAGAAATCCACTGGGACCCATTGGGACCCATAGAGACCCATAGCAACCCATAGGGACCCCATAGGGACCCCATAGGGACCCATAGAGACCCATAGAAACCCCATAAAGACCCATAGAAACCCCATAAAGACCCATAGAAACCCCATAGAGACCCATCCCACAGTGAACCCACAGCACTCCACAGTGACCCCACAGAGCCCCATAGCACCCCACAGCACCCCATAGTTACCCCATAGCACCCCATAGTGACCCCATAGCACCCCATAGAGCCCCATAGCACCCCGTGGTGACCCCATAGAGCCCCATAGAGCCTCATAGCACCCCATGGTGACCCCATAGTACCCCATAGCACCCCATAGCACCCCATGGCGACCCCACAGCCCCCCACCTGGTGCACCAGGACGTCCTCGTGCAGCACCCCACAGCACCCCATGGTGACCCCATAGAGCCCCATATTGACCCCATAGCACCCCATAGCACCCCATAGAGCCCCATAGTGACCCCATAGAGCCCCATAGTGACCCCATAGCACCCCATAGCACCCCATAGAGCCCCATAGCACCCCACGGCGACCCCACAGCGCCCCACCTGGTGCACCAGGACGTCCTCATGCAGGCCGGGGGGCGGCACGCTGCGCAGGAGCTCCATGGTCTCAAACATCCCCTGGGCGCTGCGCAGCTTTTCGGGGGACCCCAAAGCCAGGCGGAGCAGCACCAGCCCCACACGGAACATCACCTTCACCCCTGCACCATGGGGGGGGGGGAAAAAGGGCGCTTATGGGGCGCCCCGTAGGGCGCAGAACACACAGAAGGGCGAGAAGTTGGAAGGGGACCCCAAAAGGCAACACAAAACACAATGGGGACCCGAGAAATGGGATGGGAACCCAATGAGATCCCACAAAACCCAATGGGGACCCTAAAAAAATCAATGGGAAACCAACATAACCCAACAAAACCCAATGGGGACCCGAAAAATGAAATGGGAACCCAATGAGATCCCACAAAACCCAATGGCGACCCGAAAAATGGAATGGGAACCCAATGAAATCCCACAAAACCCAATGGCGACCCGAAAAATGGAATGGGAACCCAATGAAATCCCACAAAACACAATGGGGATCCTAGAAATGGAATGGGAACCCAAT